TGGCCTCTTTGGGATGAATTGGAACGCCGACTGTGAGCCAGGCCTAATCGCCCAACATCAGTGCCTGAAGAGTGGAGCCTGTTATAGCAGCAAAGTGGGGGACCAACTCCATATTTATGCCCATGATTCTGGAATGAGATGTTCGCCGAGCAGGTGTCCACATACTTTTGGTCATGTAGCGTAAGTATGAGAAACAACCTCTTCCCTTTTCCTCAGACAGTGAAAGAACCAGAGAGAACAAGTGTGTGTGTGTGTGTGTGTGTGTGTGTGTGTGTGTGTGTGTGTGAAAGAGCTCTTCTCGTCTCATGACTACTTGTACAAATGACAGAGAGGCCCCAGAACGAAGGGATAGGAGGCAGTGGACTCTAAACTATATCCGCTCTGACACTTCATCTGACAAGGGCTCTATTATAACAGTCAACGCTTACAAGCCTCCTGCTAGGATTTCTAAATAAAGAGAGAAAGGGAGAGTGTGGTTGTGTGTGCGTGCCTGTGTGTGTGAGTTTTGTGTTAGTCTGTGTCCATCAAATCAAATCAAATTGTATTTGTCACATGAGCCGAATACAACAGATGTAGACTTTACCGTGAAATGCTTACTTATGAACCCTTTCCCAACAATGCAGAGTTAAAAAGTTATAACAACTTTGCTAAATAAAAAAGGAAATAGTAACACAATAAAAGAACATTAACGAGGTCATCCACCACACAGTTACGTTTGTTAGGAAACGACACGTGCGATGGGGGTTGGTTATCTCTAGAAACCACATTTAATTTGGGTGCTTTAGTTTACAGGAGGATCTCTGCAGCACACTACTGACCCCTGTCACACTGATGATGTGGCCTCACTGTAACGACCTCTCCAGAGACGCAGAGTCTAACCCATAGAAATACTAGAATGGACATTCCTATTTAAGAAGGGGTTTGAGGGCCTTTTTCCTGTTCTACTAATTATATTTATATCGCCTAACCTTGCCTTCCTCCACACAAGGCTCAGGGGCCTCTCTCTCTCTCTTCTCTCCTTCCAGAGTGGCCTTGATGTGGGATTGTGTGCTGCCTGCGTCTGGGCCTTGAGCTGAGTTGTTGCAGCTGGAGCTGGAGGCCAAGACTATCGGTCAGTCTGTCTCTGTAGCTCAGTTGGTAGAGCATGCCGCTTGCAACGCTAGGATAGTGGGATTGATTCCCGGGACCAGCCATATGTAAAATGTATGCATGCATGACTGTAAGTCACTTTGGATAAAAGTGTCTGCTAAAAGACATAATTTATTATAGTATGTATGTATAGTGCCTTCAGAAAGTATTCATACCCCTTGACTTATTCCACATTCTGTTGTGTTACAGCCTGAATTCAAAATAGATTGCTGATTTTTTCTCTCTCATCCATCTACACACAATACCCCATAATGACAAAGTGAACACATGTTTTTAGAAATGTTTGCAAATGTATTGAAAATGAAATACAGAAATATCTAATTTACATAAGTATTCACACCACTGAGTCAATACATGTTAGAATCACCTTTGGAAGCGATTACAGCTGTGAGTCTTTCTGGGTAAGTCTCTAAGAGCTTTGCACACCTGGATTGTGCAATATTTGCACATTATTCTTTTAAAAATTCTTTAAGCTCGGTCAAGTTGGATGTTGATCACTGCTATACAGTTCAAGTCTTGCCATAGATTTTCAAGCCGATTTAAGTCAAAATTGTAACTAGGCCACTTAGGAACATTCAATGTTGTCTTGGTAAGCATCTCCAGTGTATATTTGGCCCTGTGTTTGAGGTTATTGTCCTGCTTAAAGGTGAATTTGTCTCCCAATGTCTATTGGAAAGCAGTCTGAACCAGGTATTTCTCTAGGATTTTGCCTGTGCTTAGATCTATTCCATTTCTTTTTATCCCCAAAAACTCTGTAGTCTTTGCCGATGACAAACATACCCATAACATGATGCAGCCACCACCATGCTTGAAAATATGAAGAGTGGTACTCAGTAATGTTTTTTTTTTTTTACCCATCTACCAATAGGTGCCCTTCTTTGCGAGGCATTGGAAAACCTCCCTGGTCTTTGTGGTTGAATCTGTGTTTGAAATTCACTGCTTGACTGAGGGACCTTACAGATAATTGCATGTGTGGGGTACAGAGATCAAAAATCATGTTAAACACTCAGAGTGAGTCCATGCAACTTATTATGTGACTTGCACATTTTTACTCCTGAACTTATTTAGGCTTGCAATAACAAAGAGATTGAATACTTATTGACTCAAGATATTTCAGCTTTTCATTGTTAATTAATTTGTAAAAATGTCTAAAAACATAATTCCACTTTGACATTATGGGGTATTGTGTGTAGGCCAGTGACACAAAAACTAAATGTAATACATTTTAAATTCAGGCTGTAACAAAACAAAATGTGTGTGTGTGTGTGTGTGTGTGTGTGTGTGTGTGTGTTTGTGTGTTTGTGTGTTTGTGTGTGTGTGTAGTCAGGCTAAGTGTGGAAGAGTGTGGCAGGCAGCAGAAACACAGGGAGGCTGGGGGTGGGAGGCTGGGGGTGGGAGCCTGGGGCTGGAAGGCTGTGGGTGGGAGCCTGGAGCTGGGAGGCTGTGGGTGGGAGCCTGGAGCTGGGAGGCTGGGGGTGGGAGCCTGGTTGCTGGGAGGCTGGGGGTGGGAGCCTTGGGCTGGGAGGCTGGGACGAGAGGCTGGGGCTGGGAGGCTGGGGGTGGGAGCCTGGAGCTGGGAGGCTGGGACGGGAGGCTGAGGGTGGGAGACTGGGACGGGAGGCTGGGGCTAGGAGGCTGGGGGTGGAAAAGTGACATGTTTCGGTACAGGGAGAGCATGGAGAGGGCCCCCATCAGTAGAAATGTGTGTGTGTGTATGAGTGCATGCATGCGTGTGTGTGTGTGTGTGTGTGTGTGTGTGTGTGTGTACTTGGAGGGCACCATTAGCACCGGGGGCATCTCGGCACTTCCTACCAACTGTCTCAGCTCCAGCCCTCAGGCTTAGCTTGGCTTCCTGTGGTGAGACAGACCTAACCAGACTAGATACCCCACAATGAAACACTGCTGATGAAACAGCCGGCTTTTCAAATGGCACCCTATTCCCTATATAGTGCACTACTTTTAACCAGGGTCCATAGGGCTTTGATCAAAAGAAATGCACTATGTATGGAATAGTGTGCCATTTGGGACCCATCTGTACAGTAAAGACTGGCATACTAAGGCCCAGAGTATGATCATAACCCAACTGTTGGGTAAAACCCTTCGCACCCAACTGCTGGGTAAAAACCCTCACAGTAGAAGTTTAGGCCGGTTTTCATAAAGCGGCTCAGAGAAGGAGTGCGAGGGTTTTTAGCATCAGTTTTGTCTTTTAGATCATAATGAATAATATTACATGGACAAGGGGGGAAGGGGGGGGGGGGACTGATCCTAGATCAGTACTCCTACTCTGAGACGTTTGATACATCCAGCCCCTGGATCTCTTTAGGATGTCCAAACAGTCATCCCCATACATTATCCACTCAGGTCTAATGGAAAAGGCAAAGAATGTATCAACATAAACAACATACAGTTTCTTCTATATGAATTCAAAACTTTATTTGCTTCTGTAAGCACAGTGTCAGTCCTCAAGGACTTTAGCTGGAGAATAACGATACAAGGTCTCCATCTAGAGGGTCATACAACACTTGCAGGCGCACTGGGGAAAGAGGCTTTTATTTTGTAGAGGAAGGAGAACGCTATTACAGCATTCCTAGAATAGGCCAATCAGCCCAACACATTATCATATTTGTTATTTTTATATTTACTGACGATTTTGAGCAACAAAGTGGGACAACTAGCATTTACACTGGGATGGTCTCTATGTATCTGTGGCTTCCAATTTGGGTCTTACTTAATTAGCTTCTATGAATGTAAAGAGATAGTATAGCTAATAAAATGAATGATTTGTTTGTTTGTCTTTCTGTTGCTCAACATTTTTCTGAATGGGTCACAAATCACAATGCTGTCATAGAACATTTCACTACATTCACTTCAATACATTCAGTTGTCACAATGGCGCCATCACTCAGCGACTCCACGGTGTGACACATTGACACTGTCTGTCTGTAAACAATATCCTTTTTCGGGACATCGTCATGTGGTCATCTGGAGATCCGCAATAAAACCTTTTAGAATGACCACGCAGAAAATAATCGCATGTAAGAGTAACGAGAAAAGTTATAGCAATTTCAAAAAGTTTATTTTCTCCTCTCTCACCTCTCTCCTCTCTCTCTCTCTCTCTCTCTCTCTCTCTCTTCTCTCTCTTCCTCTCTCTCTCTCTCTCTCTCTCTTCTTCTCTCTCTCTCTCTCTCTCCATCTCTCTCTCTCTTTCTTCATCAACTCTCTCTCCTCTCTCTCTCTCTTCTCTATATCTCTTCTCTCTCTCTCCTCTCTCTCTCTCTCTCTCCCTGTGTGTGTGTATCATTCCTTTGATATTTCAGAGTGTATAAATGTGACTGACTAAGAGTCTGCCTGTGACAGTCTGTGCCTGTTGGCTATAAATACTTATTTTGATCATCCTCCTGCATTGTCCTCTCCTGTCTACATGACATGTCTTCACAACCTAAATGACATTTTCGACCTTTACCACTGTAGCTCTCTCTCTCTCTCTGTGTCTCTAAGCCTGTATCTAAGCTAACAGCCACGTTTGTATTTTAGTAGCACTGATTTCGCAGATAGCCGGTTTTACTTGCAATGACTATGATATGTGGTTTTCTTACTTACTTTATTTTAAGTCGAGCTGGATAAGTGTCTGCTAAATGACCAAAATGTAATGTAATGTATCCCTGTGCCTGTATTTCACTGAGCCTGAGGGCCACAGTGGAGGTTGGCGGCCATGCTGTTCCTGTGCCTGCCAGGTGTAGGCTACCTCTCCCACTCGAGTCACATGGGAGGGGCCTGTGCTGCTGGCTGGCTCCTCTTATTTCCCTGGCAAATGTTGTCACCACCAGTTCAGTTCCCCTCCCTCCCTTCCTCCCTCATACCTCCCTCCCTGACTGTCACAGTCTCAAGCCAGACCAGACAACTAACTCCTCAAAGGATATAGGATGCAGTAATGGAGGCCCCTGGAAGAAGGACCTTTATCACTCTGTGCCTCTACACTGCACTACTTACTCTCTCAGGTAAGAGGAAGAAGAAATATACTGTTGATGTCTAGTGTTACTGTCACTATAGTCACCTTGTTGGGGATACCAGTGCGGTGGAAAGATTGAAGAGTTGGGATCTTTAGTGGTGTGTCTGAGTATTGGAAATATCGGATGAAACAGTTATGGTTAATGTTGTTATCTGGGCATACCTGGTGATTGGTCTATTGCTGTCATTTCAGCAATGTTAATTGAATGTCATTTCAGGAGAAATTCATTAAATGTTTTGAAAGTGTAACTAAAAGTATGGGCCTACATCAACATTGCCAATTATCTTGTCATTAGACTGTATTTTATTTGATCAGTTATTAGACGCATAATAGAATGGTACTTTCTAATCATAGTGTATAGGACAGGAATACCCTTATGCATGTGTGTTGATGCATGGCGTTGATGTCAGTGTTGGCCCATGTTGAGTCTATGGTACAGTCTATGGTACAGACGTCTACGTAAACATATCTGACCAAATTACACGTGATTTCAGTTCTGGGTTAACCGAGATTCATTCTATGGTGGTTGACGAAGTTGTTGTTACATTGTTATGTCACAGTGCAGTAGCTACCGATATTTATGATCTGATTCCCATGTTTCATATACTTTATGCTGGCTTTTATGGTCAAAATACGTTTTTTTTAGCATTTCTATGTATGGTTCTGTAGCGGGTGATGATGGACGGAGTCAGACGCAGGAGAGGAAATCATGGAATAAATGGTTTAATCAATAAACAGAGGTACGCAGTGATGCGTAATACACACCAGTGCGGACGAACGGCACAATGGGGAAAATAAGGCACACGGGTGAATAACCCAGCGATACACAAATAGGAACGAGCTCCACCGAGCTATAATCTCCTCTACAATAAACAATCACACACAAAGACAAGGGGGCAGAGGGAACACTTATACAGGTACTGATGAGGGGATATGAACCAGGTGTGTGTAATAAACAAGACAAAACAAATGGAATGATGAGATGAGGAGCGGCAGTCGCTAGTAGGCCGGTGACGACGAACGCCGAAGCCTGCCCGAACAAGGAGAGGAGGCAGCTTCGGAGGAAGTCGTGACAGGTTCAGACAGTCAGACTTTAGACAGTCAGAAGATGGAGGAAGGACACACTGGAAAGAGTTCATCAACCAGGCCTCTGGTGACTCAGCTTGGGACGAGCTTGGACCAGACATAGGGTCGGCATTTCTATCACACTGGCCCATTTCTTTCCTGAAGTCTCCCACACGGCACATTTTTTTCACTATAGGCCCCCATTATTTGCCAAATAAATTATAATGGGTCAGTCCATCTGGCATTTGCCAGTATTGCCCTATGGCCAGTCCTTCCCTGCTGATGATAATAGATGTCCAACCAATCTCACATGACCAGATAAGCTCAACATCTGATGTCCTAACAAAACAATGGAGCTCACTTCTAAGAATGTGTTTGTATTTGCTCCTGTAAGTCGCTCTGGATAAGAGCGTCTGCTAAATGACTAAAATGTAAAATGTAATGTAAATGTATTGGAGCTCACTTCTAAGAATGTGTTCATATTGGAGCTCACTTCTAAGAATGTGTTCATATTGGAGCTCACTTCTAAGAATGCGTTCATATTGGAGCTCACTTCTAAGAATGTGTTTGTATTCACTTGAGAGATCTTGTTTATGTAATCAAGGAAGGAGGAGGGGGACACTTGATGGTGGTGCATCAGTAGCATTCAGCTGGCCAATTTGTGTATATAAGTGTGTGTGTGTGTGTGTGTGTGTGTGTGTGACAGTGAAGACATCCCCTCACCTTCTCAGAGCCCATTGCCTCCACTGTCACTGTCTCTTATCACCACAACAATCCCAGGCTTGTTTAGTAACAACAGTGGCAGCAGCGGGTTCAGCACACTGTCCTGCTTATTTGACAGACCTTCCCCAGCCTTATGCTGGAGTACACTGTCACACTTTTAGCCCCCTGCCACACACACACATTGATGGCCTAGCTTGCAGGCCACTCGGAGTGTGACATGGATGGGGGAAGGCTGTGTGTATTATTTAAGACATAACACCAGGCACACAGTTCATCTATTGTGATGAACAACAGTGGCAGTCAGCAGGGCCTGGACGTCCCCCCGGGAGAACTGTACTGAATGGAAGGAGGGAGAGGAGAGAGAGGAGAGAGAGAGAGAGAGAGGAGAGAGAGAGAGAGAGAGACGAGAGAGGAGAGAGGAGAGGAGAGAGAGAGAGAGAGAGGAGAGGAGAGAGAGAGGAGAGAGGAGACGAGAGAGAGAGAGAGAGAGAGAGAGGGAAGGAGGGAGGTGGAAGAGGAGGGAGAGAGTGGGAGGGGAGAGGAAGGATTGGAGGAGCGGGATAGAGGATGGAAGAGGGAGGGAGGGGGGAGGGAGGGAGGGAGGGAGGGAGAGAGAGAGAGAGAGGTAGGAGGAGGAAGGGAGGGAGGGAGGGAGGGAGGGAGGGAGGGAGGGGAGGGAGGGAGGGAGAGGTAGGAGGAGGAAGGGAGGGAGGGAGATAGAAAATAGAGGGCATAGAAACAGAGAGAAAGTGATAGGGGAGTGGGGAGAGCGAGAGAGAAGGAGATGGAGGGGGGAAGGGGGGGGGGGGGGGGTTAACCTGTGTACAGCCTACCTGCCTGATGCTGTTTAATCTGAGATGGCAACACAACACACACATAACCCACTCCCTTCCTATTCCTAGAAACGTAACCCTGCTATTGCCAAAATAGCTGCAAAACTTCACATTAGTTATTTTGAAAAAGAAAGACAATGTGGAAGAGCAAAAACCAAATGAACACAGTTCTTTCTCTATTATACAGTATGTCGTACCACAAAGGTGATTTTTTTTCTGTCAGTTATCAGTGTGCAAAATCCTTATGGCAACTGCAGTCTACGCTAACGTAGACAGAGCACAGTGCACGATGTTCAATGGCTAAATCATACAGCTTAAATATGTTTGCTTTAATACCTGTTAGTAGCAATATGATAGGCTTGTCAATGTCTCGCAATCACTTATGAATTGGGTTAATATTTGCTTACCTCAGTTTCAGGACAGAGTTCTGGATAAAGTAAATGGAATGAATAAATAGCATGACACAGGTGTGTTAATCATGTAAACATAGGAGGATATCTCAGTCTAACCTACTCTTTCTGCTTTACAAAGCTCAGCATCAAGAGGAGTCTGCACATGCTGTAAAATAGACTGCTATGGCTTTCATTTTCATGTTCATGAAAAGCTCACTGGTTTGTACGTGTGATCAGGGCCCGTATTCATAAAGCATCTCGGAGTGCTGTAGGAGTGCTGATCTAGGATCAGGTCCTCCTGTTCATATAATCCTATCTCTTACACTTAGATGCTTTATGAATACGGGCCCAGATTGAATTCATGTGCGACGTGTTTACACAACTCTCACAACCAGAAATATACAGGGACTACTGTAGGTACATCTATAATGGAACGCTAATCAGTCAGGCCAAACATTGCAGTTTTTAAAAATTTTACTGACTTTATTGTCCCCATGGGGAAATGTTGTTGCAGTATCATGTACAGTTGAAGTCGGAAGTTTACATACACTTAGGTTGGAGTCATTGAAACTCATTTTTCAACCACTCCACAAATTCTTTACAGACAGATTATTTCACTTATAATTCACTGTATCACAATTCCAGTGGGTCAGAAATTTACATACACTAAGTTGACTGTGCCTTTAAACTGCTTGGAAAATTCCAGAAAATGATGTCATGGCTTTAGAAGCTTCTGATAGGGTAATTTACATAATTTGAGTCAATTGGAGGTGTACCTGTGGATGTATTTCAAGGCCTACCTTCAAACTCAGTGCCTCTTTGCTTGACATCATGGGAAAATCAAATGAAATCAGCCAAGACCTCAGAAAAGAAATTGTACACCTCCACAAGTCTGGTTCATCTTTGGGAGCAATTTCCAAATGCCTGAAGGTACCACGTTCATCTGTACAAACAATAGTACGCAAGTATCGCCACCATGGGACCACGCAGCCGTCATAACGCTCAGGAAGGAGACGAATTCTGTCTCTTAGAGATGAACGTACTTTGGTGCGAAAAGTGCAAATCAATCCCAGAACAACAGCAAAGGACCTTGTGAAGATGCTGGAGGAAACAGGTACAAAAGTATCTATATCCACAGTAAAACGAGTCCTATATCGACATAACCTGAAAGGCCGCTCAGCAAGGAAGAAGCCACTGCTCCAAAACCGTCATAAAAAAGCCATACTACGGTTCGCAACTGCACATGGGGACAAAGATCGTACTTTTTGGAGAAATGTCCTCTGGTCTGATGAAACAAAAATAGAACTGTTTGGCCATAATGACCATCGTTATGTTTGGAGGAAAAAGGGGGAACTTGCAAGCCGAAGAACACCATCCCAACCGTGAAGCACGGGGGTGGAAGCATCATGCTGTGGAGGTGCTTTGCTGCAGGAGGGACAGGTGCACTTCACAAAATAGATGGCATCATGAGGAAGGAAAATTATGTGGATATGTTGAAGCAACATCTCAAGACATCACTCAGGAAGTGAAAGCTTGGGTCTTCCAAATGGAAAATGACCCCAAGCATACTTCCAAAGTTGTGGCAAAATGGCTTAAGGACAACAAAGTCAAGCTATTGGAGTGGCCATCACAAAGCCCTGACCTCAATCCTATAGAAAAAGTGTGGGCAAAACTGAAAAAGCCTGTGCGAGCAAGGAGGCCTACAAACCTGACTCAGTTACACCAGCTCTGTCAAGAGGAATGGGCCAAAATTCACCCAACTTATTGTGGGAAGCTTGTGGAAAGCTACCTGAAATGTTTGACCCAAGTTAAACAATTTAAAGGCAATGCTACCAAATACTAATTGAGTTTATGTAAACTTCTGACCCACTGGGAATGTGATGAAAGAAAGAAAAGCTGAAATAAATCACTCTCTCTAATATTATTCTGACATTTCACATTCTTAAAATAAAGTGGTGATCCTAACTGACCTAAAACAGGGAATGTTTTACTAGGATTAAATGTCAGGAATTGTGAAAAACTGAGTTTAAATGTATTTGGCTAAGGTGTATGTAAACTTCCGACTTCAACTGTACATGTTTAAAGTGGCGTTTAAATACAGTAGCCAACAAATTGAAAATACTAAATTCACTACAGTTACATACAGTATATACCAATGAAAGAGACTAGTCTGCTGGCCTTACAAGGTGGATAGGAATATTAGCCCAAGCTGTTTAGGAGGGATATCACACCTGGTACAAATCACTGTCTAGTGGTGTTTTTCCTGCCAGGGGGTGCCCTATACCTTCACCCAGAGGAGAGTAGTTCAAAGTCTGGGTACAGGGGGTGGTTTGGGTCTAAAATGTTTTTGTGAGCCTGCTGAGGGCCCTGACCTTAAAGATCTCATCCAAGCCTGTCTGTTTGACTCCAAGTACCTTGCTTGCTGTGGTGATAATCCCTCTCAGCATTTTCTGGCTGACAATGGCATTACCAAAACCAACAAACAATACAAAAGTTAAAATACTCTCAATGAAAGATTTGTAGAACAGAGTCAGTATAGTCCAGTCAACATTAAAAGATCCCAGCTTTCTGAGAAAGTACAGTCTCGGCTGACGCTTTGTGTAGATCAGGTCTGTATATTTACTCCACTGAAGCTTATTGTCCAAGAGGACACCCAGATATTTGTAGTCCTCTACAATCTCTATGTTCTGAACTCTGATAGATGTTGCAGAGGTGGGTGTTGTTCGCTTCCTGAAGTCTATGCACATCTCTTTGGTCTTGTTGGTATTGAGGACCAAGTGTGATTCATCACACCACTCTACAAAGTAATTTAGGACTGGGCCATGGTGTTCCTTGTCATCATGCAACAGGCTGATCAAGGCAGTGTAATCAGCAAACTTGACAAGGTGTCTGTCAGGATGGGAACTAGTACAACTATTTGTTTACAAGATGTACAGGAGTGGGGACAAAACACATCCCTGTGGGGTGTTGGTGGTGCGTATGTCCGACACGTGAGGACCCACCTTGACCCGCTATGACCTCGGCTCAGGAAGTCTAACAGTCACAAAACCAGCCCCCCATCTAAGGAGAGGTCCCTTATGAGTCTCTGTGCCAGAATGTAAGGCTGGATTGTGTTGAAGGCAGAAGAAAAGTCAATAAACAGAACCCTGACATGGGATTTAGCGCCCTCTAGATGTCTATAGACCATGTTGAGGAGAGGAAGAATGGCATCATCAACTCCTCTGCTGGGCTGATAGGCAAACTGAAACGGGTCGAGGAACTTCTGGGTGGCGCTGAGGATACGACTTTATGGGTAGGAAACAAAGTGGCCCAACACATGAACAGGTCCACCCCACCCTCTGAGATTATTTGTTAAAATGTTCTCTCTTTTTCTCTCTCTCTCTCTCTCTCTCTCTCTCTCTCTCTCTCTCTCTCTCTCTCTCTCTCTCTCTCTCTCTCTCTCACCCCTTCCTTCCCTCTATAATGCTCTCTCTCTCTCTCTCTCTCACCCCTTCCTTCCCTCTATAATGCTCTCTCTCTCTCACCCCATCCTTCCCTCCATCCTCAGAAGTAAACTCAGAGATCGTCCATGTTCCGTCCGTGCTCCATGGTGTCAAAGGGAAGTCCCTCCTCCTCTCAGTGGAGACTTACTTCCGATTGGAGGACGTTGAGATCCAGGGCAGCTGGTACCAGACCCGGCCGGGGGGCCCCAAAACCCTCCTGGTGACATTCCACAACCACACAGCCATCATGGTGGCCTCGATGAGACACAGGAACCGCTACGGCTTCCAGCCCCCCAACGCCTCTCTCCTGATCCCCAGGCTGGACGAGGCGGCGGAGGGGGACTATCACCTGGACCTGGACATTCAGCTCCCCCAGAGACAGGAGCTCGTCAGGGCCGAGAGGACTGTCCACGTCACCGTAGATGGTGAGTTAGTGGACACCAGAGAATCTTATCTATCAGACTGTATAGTCCTTTATAGATTTATTAAAGCAATATAAAAGACGTATTAAGAGGGTAAGACATATGTTTATTTTTGCCTTGATCAAATCAAATCAAATTGTAATTGTCACATGCGCCGAATACAACAGATGTAGACCTTACAGTGAAATGCTTACTTACAAGCCCATAACCAACAATGCAGTTACTAAATAAACTAAAGTAAAAAATAAAATAAAAAGCAACACAATCAAATAACGAGGTTAATTCAGTAACTAGGTTCATTCAGTAACTAGGATCCTTAAGTAACTAGGTTCATTCAGTAACTAGGATCCTTCAGTAACTAGGTTCATTCAGTAACTAGGTTCCTTCAGTAACTAGGTTCATTCAGTAACTAGGTTCATTCAGTAACTAGGTTCATTCAGTATCTAGAATCCTTTAGTAACTAGGTTCATTCAGTAACTAGGATCCTTCAGTAACTAGGTTAATTCAGTAACTAGGTTCATTCAGTAACTAGGATCCTTCAGTAACTAGGTTCCTTCAGTAACTAGGTTTATTAAGTAACTAGGTTCCTTCAGTAACTAGGATCCTTCAGTAACTAGGTTCCTTCAGTAACTAGGTTCCTTCAATAACTAGGATCCTTCAGTAACTAGGTTCCTTCAATAACTAGGATCGTTCTGTAACTAGGTTCCTTCAGTAACTAGGATCCTTCAGTAACTAGGTTCCTTCAGTAACTAGGTTCCTTCAGTAACTAGGATCGTTCTGTAACTAGGTTCCTTCAGTAACTAGGTTCCTTCAGTAACTAGGTTCCTTCAGTAACTAGGTTTATTAAGTAACTAGGTTCCTTCAGTAACTAGGATCCTTCAGTAACTAGGTTCCTTCAGTAACTAGGTTCATTCAGTAATTAGGTTCATTCAGTAACTAGGTTCATTCAGTAACTAGGATCCTTCAGTAACTAGGTTCCTTCAATAACTAGGTTTATTAAGTAACTAGGTTCCTTCAGTAACTAGGATCCTTCAGTAACTAGGTTCCTTCAGTAACTAGGATCCTTCAGTAACTAGGATCCTTCAGTAACTAGGATCCTTCAGTAACTAGGTTCCTTCAGTAACTAGGTTTATTAAGTAACTAGAAAGATTTGTACTTTTGTGGCTTATTTGGCTGCACTTAATATGTGCCTATCATCATCCTACTGTTTCATCTCTCCCCTTCTCCAGTACCTGTGTCCACCCCAGTTATCCAGAAGGCACCATCTTCTACAGTTGTTGAGGACAAGGAGAACGTGACGTGGACCTGTAGGGTGGAGAACGGAACCAGGGTCCAGTACCAGTGGCTGAGGAACAACATGCCCCTAGATGTTAGTGATCGCCATCAGTTCTCCCAGGACAACTCTACTCTGGTGATAAGCCCTGTGAAGAAGAAGGACATTGGACAGTATCGCTGCCTGGCCAGGAACCACATCAGCCAGAGACAGAGCCACACCCTGGACCTCAGTGTCTTCTGTAAGTACTGTAGGTCTGTCTATAACAGTACATTACTGTAGGTCTGTCTATAACAGCACATTACTGTAGGTCTGTCTATAACTGAACATTACTGTAGGTCTGTCTATAACAGCACATTACTGTAGGTCTGTCTATAACTGAACATTACTGTAGGTCTGTCTATAACAGCACATTACTGTAGGTCTGTCTATAACTGAACATTACTGTAGGTCTGTCTATAACTGAACATTACTGTAGTTATGTCTATAACAGTACATTACTGTAGGTCTGTCTATAACAGCACATTACTGTAGGTCTGTCTATAACAGCACATTACTGTAGATCTGTCTATAACTGAACATTACTGTAGGTCTGTCTATAACAGCACATTACTGTAGGTCTGTCTATAACAGCACATTACTGTAGGTCTGTCTATAACAGCACATTACTGTAGGTCTGTCTATAACTGAACATTACTGTAGGTCTGTCTATAACAGCACATTACTGTAGGTCTGTCTATAACTGAACATTACTGTAGGTCTGTCTATAACAGCACATTACTGTAGTTCTACAACTACGTCTCATACAACTATGTCTCATACAACATGGGTCACAATAGAACATAATGTTTGCTATTCATGAGCTAGTCAATGCAGAATACATGTAAACATTTGTAAATAAGAGCCTGGGGAAGGAACTTAATGACACAATTTCCTGCACTGTATTTTCCACATTTTACAGAAGTGTAAAGACTTCCATCCTCTTGGTATTCTATGAGTAATACCAGTATGTAAATTCAAAACATAAGAGAGCTCAGTGAGGTCGGAAAACAGAAGTGGCTGAAATTTGCATGGGAGTCTATGTCTGACAGAGGTCCACTGTTCTATGGCGATACTATCATGTCAGTACTGCAGTATCTCTACCGTGACTCTGTTAGGTTAAGGAAACCAGGCTGGTTGTGGCAGGTTTGGAGGTTAGCCTATATGGGAGGATACTTTTAACATAAGTCCCATACATGTATGGCGTTTCTTCAGGCTAACACTCTGATAATACAAATAAATCAAAATACAGTAATTGCCACCTGTTTGGCTAAAGGAAGTGAGAAGACCTGGACCAACACAGTCGTGGCTAAATCTACCACTAGTCCCTGTAGCAGTGAAACCACTATATGTCTTGTAACCTGATTTGTAGTGGCGAAGAGCCAAAAGCAGCCTCACAATAGGACGACATGTTTGGTCAGTTAATGACATTCTGAATTATTGATAATAAAACAATTTATCCTAGCTGCCAAAGGATCCTAGATTTCCACAGTACCAATAGAGTTTGAAGTCGATCATAAAACTATGTTCCCAGAGTGCCGGTTTGTGACAATATGAACCACTCTGATATCTCCCAGATGGCCCCTACAACCTGGCTGTGAAGTCTGACCATGGTCTGCGGACTGGGGAGGTCTTCACAGTGAACCCTGGTGAGCTGGTGTTCTTCGACTGTCAGGCCGACTCCAACCCTCCCAACAGCTGTATGTGGATCTCCAAGACCAACAACGCCACTGAGGTCATCACTGTGGGACTGCGCCTGGAGGTCACCTCCTACAAGCTAGCCCAGGCTGAGGAGTTCCTGTGTAGGGCCTTTAACAACGTGACCCAGAAGCAGGACGAGACCCAGTTCACCCTGGTGGTGGCCAGCCTGGTGACAGGTGGGTAAAGTTGGGCTGGGCTACTAGCCTGGGGTGCTGGAGGGAGCGTAGGAGGGACTGGGAACACACACACACACAGCCCTGGGGTGCTGGCATAGCGTAGGTGGAACTGGGAATCAGGTCTGGATACACACTGTGCACCTTATCATGCCATGAGGTACCAAGGTGAAGACCACAAAGAAGAGAAGATGAGGCATAATGTCAAAGGGACAAATGTAACCTACATTTGAAACCTAAATAGTTTGTAAAGTATGACTTGTCTAAATATGAGCAGTAACCTTGCTTGCAGAGAGTCCAAATGAAAGGTACCTTTAGAACAGAGCCAGTTAATCCATCCACACAAGGTGAATCATAAATATTGTATTTCTCCTTAGTTGCCAAGTGCCGGTCACTCAGGCCTGTGTAAAAGTCCACTGGCTCTATGGGAGAGTAAACAGAGAAAAATAACAGCTGGCTGGTCTCATTGTTGACAATGTTTTACTGCATGTATGGAGTTTCTATGCGTAGGTGGTTTCAGTCTCCAAATTGAAAAAGATACACATAATCTTGGCTACTGTATAGCAAATGACGCTGTAAATATATATATCCTATTGACGATTATCTAAAAAGTCAATGAACAAACTAAACACACTAACTGTCCACCAAGTCTGGGTTGACAGGTTTACTCTCACCTTGGACTCTCTTCTCAAATGAGTAGAATGTAGTCACTAAACCTTCAGGGCCTGTTTCCCAGTCACAGATTATGTCTAGTCCTGGACTAACAAGCATTCTCAATAGATATTCTCCATTGAAAGAGCTTCTTAGTCCAGGACTGGGCTTAATCTGTGTCTGGGAAACCGGCCCTGTTTAAAGTTTTGAAATGTGACTCTGAATGAAATAATAATAACTTTATTTATAGAATGCTTTTCGATAACAGTTTAACAAAGTGCTTCTCATCAAGTGCATAATAAAAAATAAATAAAAGTACTACAGAAGATACAGAGACAGAACAATGGAGAAGGAAAACAAAATAGCTATATTAAATCATACATTAGAAGTTTGTTTTATAAAAGTGGGTTTTCAGGAGGGGTTTTAATAGAGGCACTGATTCTGCAAGAGGTTATGGTTATTCTCTTTTATTTGTAGGAAAGGAGAGATATGTCCAGGAGACCAGATCATTCTCTCCTCTGGCTGGCATCACTCTGTCCTGTCTGTTCATCATTAGCTGTATGTTACTGATCTACTTCAGAAGGAGCTGTCATCATCCCAGGAGAGGTAAATGTTATGGTTATCTTCATAATGACTTAGGGTGATAGCAGCAACTGTAACCACAGTAGACACTAGACACTACTGTAGACACTAGACACTACTGTAGACACTAGACACTACTGTAGACACTACTGTAGACACTAGACACTACTGTAGACTCTACTGTAGACACTAGACACTACTGTAGACACTAGACACTACTGTAGACACTAGACACTACTGTAGACACTAGACACTACTGTAGACACTACTGTAGACACTAGACACTACTGTAGACACTAGACACTACTGTAGACACTACTGTAGACACTAGACACTACTGTAGACACTACTGTAGACACTAGACACTACTGTAGACACTACTGTAGACACTAGACACTACTGTAGACACTAGACACTACTGTAGACACTACTGTAGACACTAGACACTACTGTAGACACTAGGCACTAATGTAGACACTAGACACTACTGTAGACACTAGACACTAGACACTAGACACTACAGTAGACACTAGACACTACTGTAGACACTAGATTTTGAAGTTTGTTAACTATACAGTACATGCCAATCATCTGCCAATGTTACAGTATGTCAAACTCAAACAGCATCTGTGGCAAAATGACATGTTTATCTGAGGAAAAGGCATTCAACTTAACAAAGGCCGAACACTTGCCTGTAGGGTAAAATAGAAATAGTTGTTGTTATTAAAGAGTGAAAGATGTAATATTAAAACATCTACTGTTTATTTTACAGTTCTCATGAACATCTATAACAGGTAAGACCATTACTGATCAGTGCTTACACATTAATAAAGATAACCTCTGTCTAGGTAGCCTAACTACAGTAAATGGGTTAAATTAGAATTGCTTTGCCTCTCCCACGCAGACCTTTGACAGAACAGAAGCGCCCACACCGTTCAGGTAAGCTCCCTCTCTGTACCTGCAATGTTCACCTTATACCCTTACATTCCTGCCTGTTGTTAGGCAGTGTCGTGTACATAGCCCTAGCCAAACAATACTCCTCATAAACCCTTCACTAACATAGAACAATTACAGTAATTATACTTGTTTGTCTTGTGCAGGCATATTAGCCCAGAAGCTCGGTTGCTAATCTCTTCAAGTTTCAGTTGGATCTGTCTGTGCTTTAGTGAACTGAGTTGAATACATTTAACTATGGTGGGGCAGTATTCAGTTTTCCCCAAACCAAAAGTGACACATGTCCTAAATCAAATAACCTACTAGGAAGGAACAAGAAACAGGAAGTAAATAGAGAGGACACTACATTGACACCAAAAAGTATATCAGGTGAAGATGCTAACCATCAACTACATTGTACTTACAGGTCATGAGGATGCAACGGAAGACTTTGGCATCTATGAGTTTGTCTCTATACCTGGGAAAATTGAATCTACACAGGTATGTTGTATGCCTTGCAACAATACAGCTTCGTACAATAGGCCTAGTTTTCTGTAGGAACACCTCTTTGATATTGTAATGACCCTCGTTAATGAGTCCACATTAGGCTACCTAGCGGGCGGTAGGTAGCCTAGCAGTTAAGAGCGTTGGGCCAATAACCGAAAGCTCGCTGGTTCGAAACCACGTGCCGACTAGGCAAGGCACTTAACCCTAATTGCTCCTGTAAATCTCTATGGATAAGAGCGCCTGCTAAATGACTCAAATGTAAATGTACAACCCCCCCCCCCCCCCCCCACCAGGGGGTTAACTCTATTGGAGGAATGCTTAATGTATTTTCCTTTTACACATGTGACCTGGGTTCTATTCCCACTCCCTCCATTTGCTATAACATGTAGTGTCCCTGAATGTGTTGTTTGTTTTAATTTCCCAGGCATCTAGCAGATCTCTGGCACACCTAGAGTCTGTCCAGGATTTACATACCACCATCTATGATGTAATCAGGCACATCCCTGAAACTCCCACGCTGGCTACCCGGAGTCTGCTGGGAAAGCAGTGTGAAGGTTAACCAGAGACCAGAGTATTAAAGACCCTCTCATTCATATTTTTTCTCTCTTCAAATTGTATATATATTCAATGTGCTATTTCAAGCTGCTTCTGGAAGTGGGCAAGATTATTTGGATGAATGAATTATCACATTGCATGTCTGATGGAGGTGTTGTCTAACATAGTTTTTCAACATGTAAATACAATATCTACTCTACACTGCACTTGCTTTATTGTTTTGTTTTGAAATAAATAAAATTTTATTTTACTGAATATGTTATAAGTCCTATCCTCCTGTCCTTTTCTGAATGTAGCAATTTTGTTGACCTTGACATTGTCAAGTACACTCCACCGGAGTGTTAAATGGCAGATGTGTTGTTGCCTGTCTGCAGAGTATTGTACAGTTTCCATGTACAGATATGCACTTTTTGTATTTGAATAAAGATTTATAACAATTTGATTAGCTTCATTCCATAATTAACTATATGATAAATGTTTTCTGCCTCCCATAACGTCTTAAATGAATAACTTTAGTGATGTGAGATGTGTTGGGAACTGTTGTGAAAGGTTGCCCTTTATTCTGGTGGTGAATGCAGCACTATTCAGTTGTCACTGGTCTGATCAGGCTTAGTCTGTTCTGGTCTAGTCTGTTCTGGTCTGGTGAGAGAGAGGGAGCGACAGAAGGAGGGTTCAGCGTGTGGTACTGCGCCTTCCACCTGCTCCTGCTGACTCCTAGTCACGAATAGTCTGTGTATGTGTGTATGGGAGGGAGGTTGAGTGGAGAGTGAGTGAGTGAATCTTAATTTAGATGCATGACTCTGGCAAAAGCAGACCCAACTGCAAGAATACCATCAACTGTGTCAAATGTGTTAGTTTATCCCAAAAAAGTACTGGAGAGTTTGTCATAGATATAACTGATACTACTTTCCTTATTGTAGAAACACTGTGAGGATTTCGATTTTGAGCCTGATCGTGGGCATAATATTGACTAAATGCATTCAACATTCAGAGTGTATTTTATGATGTCGGCTCCTGGTAGGGAGACCATCTGCCTCTCTATATGTTTTACGGGAGGATCTACTCAATACAACTGCATGACAAACAACACTGGTGCCTGGAGGCAGCACCTCTCCTTGCCTTCATTTGACAGGGAAATAGCCAGTGGTGTCATTAAGCAGGAGCAGGAACTAGACTAGGATACTCCCTGTGTTGTTTTAAACCAGACTGTACTCCATCAGGTAGTAGGCCCAGTGTTTGGTGCTTGAGATGACACCATCCTTAGTTCATGAAACAAAACTGTTTGGGATTAAGTTCATTAAATAGCTATGTATGATGTGTTATAATGCCCTCCTCAATTAACCCCATGATTTTTTCAAACATTAGGGGTCCTCGCTATGCACATAGCAATTAAATTACTATTCTATTTCATTAATTGTAGGAAGATAGGCTACATGATCAACAATATGCTGCATTATGTGATAGGCCACACACACAAGCACACCTATTTTTTGCCTGATGACAAGTGTCTCTTTCCAAACGACGGGACCACGTCACTTACAGTAGAGTATCCCACTACTGCCATCTATTGTTTTCAGGTGAAGTTGCAGGAGACACCTTGAACTAAAACCTATACACCTGCTTTACAATTTTGGAAAATAAAACCACAGGAATGGAGACATGATAGTATAAGTGGCTTGCATAAATTTAAATGGCCTGATTTTCAATAAAGGGTTTATTACAAGTATATATTTTTTTATAAATCTGTGGGTAGCATTAACTTTTACAATAAACAACACAATAAAATGTTTTGGGGACAAACATTTCATTAGTAAAGGAGAAGTGGAGAATTGTCAAAAATAGAAAATATATATTATATTTAACTGTTTTTGACAACATGAGGTAAAAACAGGAACATGTAGTTTTACATCGCCATCACGTCACGCTTTGTGGAGTTTCCACTAGCTACCACAGCAACAAAGTTAAAATGGGGTATATTGTAAAAATTCATGAAAACTAACATTTGCTTTTTGGTCTTAATTTAAGGTTAGGGTTAAGGTTAGGGTGAGGTTAAAAATCACATTTTAAGAAGATACATTTTAGAAATAGGCGGGATTTATGACTTTGTGGCTGTGGTAACTAGTGACGATCGCTTTGTAGTACCCATTGAACTACACTTCCCATATCTAGCAAATAATCACGTGATAGATAAATAACATGGCCTCTCTCTCAGCGAGCCGGAGCTGAATCGTTGACAGTAACTGTATCATCTAAAATTAACCCATTATCTTTTGGACAAACCTTTCTTTCACGATGCAGAAGATAAAGTCACTTATGGCCCGGCAGGTAAGTCCCCGAAGTTTCACCTGTCGATCGCATCGCACTGGCTGTAGGCAGCATGCTAGCCAGGTAGTTAGCTACTAGTAGCTAGCAGCTGACAGTTGACATCTGATCCGATAACAATGTGCTTTATAATGATGATCTTGGTCCATTTAAATCACAGAACAAGATCTCAGTTTAGATACAGATTGCTGTCTCATCGAAAGAGGAAACATGATAGCTGGCTCGCTAGCAATGTGCACTTGTGCTGTGAGTGACAGAAGTTTCACATTAGCCAGCAGCTATGAGAGGGCAAAACAAAGGATAGGGAAGTGTGTAGATATGAAAGTTCTCACCTTGCTGCAAGGTAATGTGTTGTTAGCTTGCTAGTACGCAGCATAACGTTACATGGCCTATCAGTTACAGACATTCTTGAGATCTGTATCTTGTTACGTAATAGCTAGCTACAGTGCATTCGAAAGTATTCAGACTCCTTGACTTTTTCCACATTTTGTTACGTTACAGCCTTATTCTAAAATGGATTAAATAAATAAAAATCCTCATCAATCTACACACAATACCCAATAATGACAAAGCAAAAAACTGGTTTTTAGACATTTTAGCAAAACAAATACCATATTTACATAAGTTGTTCTTTAAAAGTGCTTTCCTCTCCATCTTAAATAAGCATGCCCCATTCAAAAAATTCCGAACTAAGAACAGATATAGCCCCTGGTTCACCCCAGACTTGACTGCCCTTGACCAGCACAAAAACATCCTGTGGCGTACTGCATTAGCATCGTACAGCCCCTGCGATATGCAACTTTTCAGGGAAGTCAGGAACCAATATACACAATCAGTTAGGAAAGCAAAGGCTAGCTTTTTCAAACAGAAATGTGTATCCTGTAGCACTAACTCCAAAAAGTTTTGGGACACTGCGACACTCCCCATCCAACCTGACAGAGCTTGAGAGGAACTGCAGAGAAGAATGGGAGAAACTCCTCAAATACAGGTGTGCCAAGCTTGTAGCGTCATACCCAAGAAGACTCAAGGCTGTAATCGCTGCCAAAGGTACTTCAACAAAGTACTGAGTAAAGGGTCTGAATACTTATGTACAGTTGAAGTCGGAAGTTTACATAGACCTTAGCCAAATACATTTAAACTCAGTTTTTCACAATTCCTGACATTTAATCCTAGTACAAATTCCCTGTCTTAGGTCAGTTAGGATCACCACTTTATTTTAAGAATGTGAAATGTCAGAATAATAGTAGAGAGAATGATTTATTTAAGCTTTTATTTATTTCATCATATTCCCAGTGGGTCAGAAGTTTACATACACTCAATTCGTATTTGGTAGCATTGCCTTTAAATTGTTTAACTTGGGTCAGACGTTTCAGGTAGCCTTCCACAAGCTTCCCACAATAAGTTGGGTGAATTTTGGCCCATTCCTCCTGACAGAGCTGGTGTAACTGAGTCAGGTTTGTAGGCCTCCTCGCTCGCACACGCTTTTTCAGTTCTGCCCACAAATGTTCTATAGGATTTAGGTCAGGGCTTTGTGATGGCCACTCCAATACCTTGATGTTGTTGTCCTTAAGCCATTTTGCCACAACTTTGGAAGTATGCTTGGGGTCATCGTCCATTTGGAAGACCCATTTGCGACCAAGCTTCAACTTCCTGACTGATGTCTTGAGATGTTGCTTCAATATATCCACATCATTTTCCTTCCTCATGATGCAATCTATTTTGTGAAGTGCACCAGTCCCTCCTGCAGCAAAGCACCCCCACAGCATGATGCTGCTACCCCCGTGCTTCACGGTTGGGATGGTGTTCTTCGGCTTGCAAGTTCCCCCTTTTTCCTCCAAACATAACGATGGTCATTATGGCCAAACAGTTCTATTTTTGTTTCATCAGACCAGAGGACATTTTTCCAAAAAGTACGATCTTTGTCCCCATGTGCAGTTGCAAACTGTAGTCAGTTTTTTTTTATGGTGGTTTTGGAGCAGTGGCTTCTTCCTTGCTGAGCGGCCTTTCAGGTTATGTCGACATAGGACTCGTTTTACTGTGGATATAGATACTTTTGTACCTGTTTCCTCCAGCATCTTCACAAGGTCCTTTGCTATTGTTCTGGGATTGATTTGCACTTTTCGCACCAAAGTACGTTCATCTCTAGGAGACAGAAAACTGTTTTTGCTTTGTCATTATGGGGTATTGTGTGTAGATTGATGAGGAAAAAAAATAATAATAATTGTTTTTGTCCTGTAGCAACTCACCACTGTGACTTCAGCCGAGGGTCGTTTTGGCCATTGATTGCTGCATGTAGTATACAGTTAGCTAAACCTGTCTGTTATAAAATACAAACTTCATCCTTATTGTTATTGACAGGGCCTGAAAAGCCCACAGGAGAGCATGGCAGACCTCAGCCCAGTGGAGAACTTCAGGATCCCAAGCAAGGTAAGCTCTCTTCAGAGATGTAGTATAATTCAATTTCTATGAAGTTCGATTTAGTGGAGGTCTCTGATGCTATTTCATTTCACTGCATTCAGACAGTTGTTTGCATTATTTTTAACCAATGACTACTGAACCAGAGTTCTCCAACCCTGTTCCTGGAGAGCTACCGTCCTTTAGGTTTTCACTCCAACCCTAATCTAGCGCACCTAATAAATAGTTGGTTGATAAACTGAAACAGGTTAGTTGCAACTGGGGTCGGAGCGAAAACCTACAGGAGGGTAGCTCTCCAGGAACAGGGTTGGAGAGCCCTACGCTAAACTGTACAATTGTGTAGAATATACAGTTTCAGATACTGACTAAACCAAATA